TTTTGAGACTTTCCTGCCAGCTCTCTACTCCCGTGTGGGTCCATCATACTCTTTAGCAAATTAGATGCGAGCTTACTATTCAACCAATCATAACCTGCTGAGAGCGCTAGACTCGGCTTTGCACACCTTTTGTGAATGACTTAAAACAGAAAAGAAGCCAAATCAATGTCCTCATAAGGTGTTATAAGTCACAGATCCACAAACATTTTACTTCACTTGATATCCCAGTGTTCATTCACCATGCTTGAATGCAGGGGCCTACATTTTGTCTAACTGTAGGGGGGACAGTAAACATAAAATTTCTCAAGAGCAATTTTTGAAGGGGACACAATAAAACAGCTAAAATTGTATTTGTAAGAACAAATATATACAGAGGAAAGCCTTAGTGTAGCAGGGAGGCCATGCCAAATTAGACAACTTCAAGCTGTTGAGAGCGCTAGACTCGGCTTTGCACACCTTTTGTGAATGACTTAAAACAGAAAAGAAGCCAAATCAATGTCCTCATAAGGTGTTATAAGTCACAGATCCACAAACATTTTACTTCACTTGATATCCCAGTGTTCATTCACCATGCTTGAATGCAGGGGCCTACATTTTGTCTAACTGTAGGGGGGACAGTAAACATAAAATTTCTCAAGAGCAATTTTTGAAGGGGACACAATAAAACAGCTAAAATTGTATTTGTAAGAACAAATATATACAGAGGAAAGCCTTAGTGTAGCAGGGAGACCGTGCCAAATTAGACAACTTCAAGCTGTTGTGGTCGCGCCGCGACAGCGGTCGTGTCCAACTATCCGTCAAGCAGGTAATGTTATTATTACAATCATAGCGGACTCATCGAAAAATACACTGGCATCGTCTGTATTAAAGAGAAAATAATCACTTCATCCAATGTTTAAGTGAATAAAATAGCCTTGATAGCCGATTTCCACAACTATTGACTTTGTTCTCGCTCACCGGACTTGTGTATGTGTGTGTGTGTAGGTGATGCAGGGTTGCCAGGTTTTTGCAACAAAACCCGCCCAATTGCTACTCAAAACTAGCCCAAAACTAGACCAATCATGTTTCGAGGGGAGTTCCTCGGTAAAAATTGCGTTCCGGGGGATAAAATACAAGTTTTTCGGCAGGATTCCTCCGCTAAAATTTGCATTCCAGGGGATAAATATCACGTTATTGGGGTCACTTCAACCCGCGGACATAAAAAACAAACCGAGGCAACAGTGTTAAAGTAGCCCAATTGGCAAAACTGAGGTGATGTAAAAGAGGAAAGCAGGCATTTGGAGCAAAGCACTGCGAGGCAAGGGCGGGGAGACTCTAAATATTTCTAAACTTAAAACAAATTTTTGCCCCATTTGCATTGTTTTACTTACAAAGTTATTTAAAGTATAAAACATTGTTATTTACACAGCATGGTTTTTAATCATATTTTTAGGGGGGACAACCCTCAGATGGGGTTTCTCAGATCAGATCAGATCAGTCCTGTCCCCCCAGGATTTCCGCCTATGCTTGAATGATAATGTAAAGACTTAATTTCAGTTCTAATTAACCTGCAAAGATCATCAACAGCCTCAGAATATTGTTGTCAACATTCACTCTGTATAAAAGCAACCATTGGTGATATTTGATATTTTGAACAGAATAACCACACATTCATATTCAGTCATGTCTGCTCCGGTTTACTTGCATTCCCAGATCTTCACTAAACAGCATCCATTAGGGCCGTTTAATTCAAAAGTGTGCAAATTTTGAAAAATACCAATATGTAATGATATATTTAAACTAGGGCTGTCAGTTTAACGTGTTAACTTAATTAATTAGTTACAAAAAAATAACGCAATTAAAATATTTTAATGCAGTTAACGCACTGGCCCCGCCCCCAGACCTGTACATCATCTTACATTTCATACAGTTGACTGTTGACAAATA